CACGCCAGCCTAGGCTATAGAGAGAGACTCCATCTCAAATAAAAAATAAAAAATAATAAATAAATAAATGAGTAAGGATGAAGATGATAGATGTCAGAAGTATTTAGAGAGAGGAAAAAATTCTTTTGTCTTTAGCAGTTCAATGATCTGTTCAAGAAAATGAAATAAAAATATTAGCTACTGGTAAGATCTTAAGAGGCAATCTATTTATCAACTTAAATAACTATCTTTGTGAGATTGTTCAATGAAAAGTGAGGTGAAATAGCTATATAAAAAGTACTAAAGTGGCAGAATGAACTCTGTAAAATGTTAGTAAATGAAACAAGGCTATGATACAATCAGCTCACTAAAATGAAACATGAGACAGTGAGATTTTTGTATTGGCACATCTATTTGTATTAAGTTTGGAGAAGTAAAAAATATTCTCTAATTTTGTAGACCTCTTGTATTCTTTTTTACCTGAGGACCACGGAGCAGAAAGATTAAAAAAAAAAAAAAAAAAGGAAGTGAATCACATATTTAGGCACTATTCGTTAAGAAAAATGTGCTATGTAATTAAATTATTATGAAAATAGCAAACTGGATAGATGATAAAGGGCCTTTAGTCTGAACCAGATGAACTCAAGTTGCCCTTTAAAATGTACTTTCTGTCATAAATACTAGGATAGACCTGTTGAAAAGAATGTTGGCAGTATTTCTGGTTAATGTGGGAAGAAAAGCTATATTCGTTGACTGATTTATTTGAAATCAGATGGGGTCCGTTAAAAAATATTTAATTTGTTCTCTTGAAACACTGAACCCAAAAGAAATGAACCTGAACTTAAACAGTAATCTTTGGGCAAAAATTGCACACAATTTTGATTGCTTTCCTAAGTGTCATGTAAACACCAAAACATTAAGAAAGAGCTTCTAATGGTAGGAGGATTGATTTCAGATTCACTAAAACATCAGCCTTAATGTCTTGCTTCTACCTCTAATGCCAGATGTTTGTACCTAAGTAGGTACTTTAAAATGGTTAAAATAGCTCATTTTCTGAAGCAGATAAATATTCCATAACATTCTTCTTTATGTTATTTGTATATTTTTTGTAGCTTAAAGATAAACTTGTGGAGTCAAGTAATGCAAAGATACACGTTCTGAGTCAGTGAAGTCTAAATTTAATGATACAAATAAATACAAATTTGTAGAAATTATTTCTATTTAAGTATTTTTATCATAAAAACATCACAGTTATTTTAAGAAGCAAACATTCATTGAATATGTCTTTTAAAAAATCCTATCTGGTAAGAAATTTAAAGTTAACTGTTTTAGTGACACATGGGGAATAAATATGAAATGATGGTGTTTTATTTACTCATAGGTGTTTTAAGTCTCTGGAAATGTACTTTTTTTTTTTTCTTTAGCAGAATCTGATTTATATATGTTTTAGGAGCATTTATTCAACAAATATTTATTGAGAGTTTACCGTATGACTCAGTAATGATGTATCTTATTATTACTGTAATAAGATACTGTATTAGATGATGAGTGTACACAAATGAACCAAGTAGGACCCTGTAAAGCAGTATGTGCCATTTTACGTACACTCGAGAAATCCTAGTTGTTGCTCTTGCTTAGTTGGGATCCCTGCAACTATTGGGGGAGGAGGATTGAGGCAAACAGACTTGAATTGAGTGTTTTCTGTATATTTTGTTGATTTAGTTCACTTTGGCAAATTACTATTTTAAGTAAAGTTGTTTTCCCAAGCATTAAAAAGTTGCTTTTTTTGTAGCCTGAATGGGTTCCAGGGAGACTCTACCTTGACCAGCTGTGCTGTGTGGTCCTCAGTCAATTCCCTTCCCTTTCCTGGGTCTGAGTTTGCTTCATCTTCCTTGTCAGCCAGCTGTGTGAGAGTCAGCGAGTCAGTGCCTGAACTTAAATGACTGTTGGGGCAGGTGGATAGACACAGTTTCTTTGAAAAAATGACCCCTTAACTGTCACTTGCTTATGCTGATGATTAGAGTGGAGAGATTTACCAAAAAAAAAAAAAAAGTCATGCCTCTTAGGAGATAAAAAATTTAATAAATGACAGATCACTTGCTAATCTGGGATGATTTGGGTCTCAAAGATGAGTAAGTTTTCCACAGACACAAGAAAAAAGTATTTGTGAAACTTTTAATAGAAAGCATTTATCAATAAGAAAGAAACATAAGAGAAAGCTGAAAATGTTAGTTAACTTATGATGTTTGTGTATTTACCAAAAACATGCTAATCTTGACAAGTAGGATTCAGTGGAAACCAAATGTTGTACCAGTGTGTGTCTAGGAAGAAGCAGGTGGTAGAGGAGCTAATGAATGAACTTTTATTGGTGAATATTGGTGTAGACAGTATTTTAAACAGTGTTTCTCTTCTTATGGATTGAGGAGACAAATGCATTTTCTTCTGTGTTCTGCACATGTGGAAGGGGAGGGGTTACTGCTAGACCAGAAGCTAAGAACCAAACCATGATTTTGCTATTGGAAGATAATGTCTTTTATTCCCACATATACCACTAAGGAGGGAGACGCCAGCCTTGAGGATCAGGACAGACTCTTCATTTCTGGGCAATATAACACGCTTTACAGCTGAGCAGGGCATGTTTTTCATTCTGAAAGCCCTGCCCTAGGGCATTAATAGATATGAATAAATCTTTGTTTTTGTATGTTGGCAATCTGCAGAAGCTTGGATCACTGCAATTCTTTGGACCTTTTAGTATGCTTTAGTGGTGTTTGTGAACGGGGCAACATTTTACAGGGAAGATGAATGGGGTGTGTGGGGTGGTAGGCAGCACTCTCCCTGATTCTTTCTTTTCCAGTTCTCATTGCAGGTGTGGGAAGAGAGATATGGGGGTGCCTAGTGTCTCTGAAGAGCCTTCTACTCCTATCCTTGGAAGGAAAGAGCCTGGTTGGGTCCCCAGGAATGTTGACTGAGGGTCATCTGTTTAGACCTGAACTGGTGGTGTGCTGAAGGAGCAGGCAGGATCCTTGAGCCTGGGCACTGTCCAAGACTGGGGTCTGGGAAGGACCCTCATCTGGGCCAGAGTCACAATTTATAATGGAAAAGGTGCTTTGGACTGTTATGTTGCTGAAGCATGTCACCCCAGGAACTTAGCACAGTGATAGAAACCCAGATATGAACTGGGATTTGGGTTTCAGCTCTGATCATTGCTCTTAGCGGGGTTGTGACTGTTGGCTGTTGACAGCTCTCTCTGCCTTCAGAGCAGGTATCTGGAAAGAGCTGTTCACATTCACTGTGTCCACTTCCTCACCTCACTTCTCTCCACAGCCCGTTGCAATCTGGCCTGCACTCCCACCGATCCATGGACACTGTACTTGATTGTTAAATCTCATGTGTGCCTTCACTCCTTAGTTGAGTTGACCTCTGTGCTGCAATTGGACACTCCCTTCTCAAAGCATGCTCTCCTCCTTTGGCTTCCAGGACATGACACTCTCCTGGATTTCCTCCCTGCCTAGGTTTTACCTTCTTTTCCCAGGGCTCTGTCCTTAGTTCTCTGCTTCCCAGTTTCCGCTTTTATGGCCTCATAGAAGTGGCAGCAAATGGTGGCTGAGAGCTTGGGCTTTGCTGCTGGGCTGCTTGGGTTCATACCTTGGCTTTACGTGCTGCTTTCCAGCTGTCACTCAATCTATCTCTGCGTTGATTTCCCTGTTTGTTAAAATATGTTACATGCTGGTGAATCGTGTCCTGAGAGTTCAGTGAATGCTGAAGGCCGCCATAAGGTCAGTGCGCATGCCTCCTTCCACGGTGCTGCTCGGAACCAATTTCTTTATTTCAGCAACACCTGAACACAGCACTTGGTGCCTAAACACTTATTGAATGGATATTTTTTTCCTTCATAAAAATCCTGAGAGGTAGCTATATAACAATTCTTATTCTTCAAATGGTGAATGAGAGACCCCAGGTAGGTTAGTGACTGATAGAACCCCATAGGTAAAGAACTGAAACTCACTCATTGACTGCAGATCATTCAGTCCCCAGCACCCTTCACGGTCTCCTGTCCTCATCACTCCCTGAGAGCTGTGGGTCTTCAGCCAAGGGCTTGTGCAAGGAAGAAAGGCATGGGATTCAGAATTCAACACTTTTCACTCCTGAGACCTCAGGAGGTCACTCGAATGCCTAAGCCTTAGTTTTCCCTGTCTGTTAAGTAGAAATAATTATCTTTGCCCTGCCTGTCATTCATGATTATTGTAGAAACCAAATGACATAATATATTTGAGGGCACTTGTACCAAGATGGGGTATTTTAATCATCTTATAGTAGTCTTGTAATTTATAATTTAAGACGGCCTGAAGCAAGAGCTTTGCCATTTACCTAACCCCCCTCCACCTCCATAAGTGTTCAGTGGCTATTATTATCTGTTATTACATTTTAATATCAGACAATTACCAAATGCAAGTTATGTTTCCTTACTGAAAACCCTGACTGAACATGGCAAAATCTTCAAGTGGCAGAAATAAACAAAATTGTTGTGGACATTTTGCTGAAGGTCATGTCAGACTTCTGCTTAAAAAATCCCAAATCCTGTTTTTTTTAAAATCAGGTATCTCTTGAAGGTTAAGAGTACTGGGACTGTTGTGCCTACATGTATTTTAGAGTCAGGGTTACTCGTTGAGCTGACCTGTTACCTCTGTAGTTCGTTTTGAGAGAACATTGACATAGGAGAAACAGAAAGGTTAAATGACTTAGATGAGTATTTTTGGAGAGTAAATTGAAATTATAATAACTTCTATTTCTAGTGTGATTTGGGTTGGTGGACGTATTAGCTTATTTGTGTCATCACTAGGTTTATTTCTTGACCATAACATTTTTTTCAAAAAGGAACTGAAAGCCCATCTTTTCTTTAACATCTAAATTCTTTACAGTACAAGCTGTGGAAGTGTTTAATTTAGCAATACTGTTCTTTGGAAGTATGAAGTTAGGATGTAGCATACCTTAATTTTGTGCTCTTTGAATTTGTTTTGTAGGAAGTCTGCGGTCTTGCAGTTCTTCAGACTGCTTTAATAAAGTGATGCCACCAAGGAAAAAGAGAAGACCTGCCTCTGGAGATGATTTATCTGCCAAGAAAAGTAGACATGATAGGTATGATGTAGAGACAGTGGATCAGAATCAGTGATACATATGTCGAAGATGCACATTTCTACCTAATTTAGTATGGGTCTTCTAAGTGTGCAGATGTCAAGTGGAATATTGTTTTGGCTTTGCCAGTCAATTTTTCAAAATGTAATTATTTGATCACATTTATTTTGTGTTTTAGTTTAAAAACAAAAAAACAAATTCGGTAATTTGAATTCTTAGAAGTTAAAGTTTTATCTTAATCCATTGATCGCCCAAAACTGGTGCAGAGTTGATTTCTTTCCTTTTAAAGCCTTACTGTCTGTGCCTGCTGAGGACCACAGAATTGGTCTCCTGTTCTTTAAGCGGGTCTCACTCATTCACTTCAACCACAGAGCTGGAGAGATCTGCCTGTACTTAATGGTCTGTGCCTGCCCAGAATATCAGCCAAGCTGAGGTTTATTCTCACATGGATGAGAATTTGATAGAACTGTGAAAAACAAGACTCTTTAAATTGCTTCTCTTTCAGATAAGTGAACTTGCTAATTTTGATAACTCCAAGGGCATGTTAGATTCATTTATTTCAAACATCTTTATTGTTTCACCCTGAGTCTAGTAAGTAGTTTTTTCTTCCTTGTTTTAGAAACAATGAACGAACATCATTGTCTAGTCTTTTCTACCTTTCTCCATCTTTCCCCATTCTGGCTTTGTGGGTCACATCACTAATGGGCCTGAATTTCCACATCTGTTAATCCAGGGAATTTAAGTGGGATTTTTCTGTTTCTTTCGAGCTGTGATTCTTTGTATACTACAACTCAGAGGAATAAGAAAGACTCTGAAAATGTAAAAATAATGTCACTGTTTATATCTCAAATGAATAGAAAATATTATCTAAAAGAAGCTAGTAGTGATTTAGAAAATAATCACCAGCAATCTTTAGGCCAGTGATTTTTCAACTTTACAAAGGCAGGCTACTTTGATACTTTTTTGGTGGTATGGATGTTACTGTCAGAATTGTTAAATTCTGACAATCACACAACATTTTGTGACTTTATAGCACTTAGTATTTTCTCACCATAGTCTAATAAAATATAGTATGATAAAGCCAGATTTGAAACTGGCAGTATAGTTGCAGTTTCTGAATTTCATTCTTGCCCTTTCTTTTATAAACAACTTTATTTTTATAAACAACTTTATTTACATACCATAAAGTTCATCCATTTTAAGTGCACAGTTTAGTGATTTTTATTAAGTTAACTGAGTTGTGCACACCATCACTACAAACCAGTTATAGAACATTTCCATTATCCCAGTAAGATCCCTAATCCCCATTCAGTCACTCCCAGCCCTAGACAACCACTAATTTACTTTGTCTTGACAGATTTCCGTTTTATGGATATGGTCTTTGTGTCTCGCTTCTTTCACTAAGCAGGATGTTTTTGAGATTCTTGCTTGAAATAGCATATATCAGTATTTCATTCCTTTTATTTGCTGAATGATATTACATTGTATACTCTGGGTTCTTTTTTATGTATTTTTCAATAATTAATATAGTGTATCCAAGTTATTGACCAGTTACAGGCTTCAAGCTGAAATAGGAATGCCTGGGCCCAGAATTAGAACATATCTATTTGAACACTTGGCCGGTATCCACTTTTGTTTCCAGGTGGTATGGCTACCGTTTATAGAAGAAATACAGAACTGCTGGTTTGCAGTTTCAGTAACTTAACACCTTATTATAACTATGTTCTTTTTTTGGTGTTAAAACCCAGAAACTAATCAGAGGTATATACTGATAATCAGGTGAGTGTCTAGATCATGAATCAGTGTTCAATAAAAAAGAATTATACAGTTGACTGTTGCACAATACAAGTTTAAACTGCACGGGTCTACTTATGTGGATTTTTTTCAGCCGAACAGAGATAGAAAATATACCACTGAGGGATGTGAAACCCCACCTGTATGGAGCACTAACTTTTGGTATACACAGGTCTTGCAGGGCTGACTGAGGGACTTGAGTATGTGCAGATTTGGGTATAGGTAGGGGTCCTGGAACCAGTCCCCTGCATAGACTGGGGAATTAATGAATATTATTTTCATATTCTTACATACTGTATAAATAAAAACTGTATTTATAAATGCTTATATACACAACTAGGTAATTTATAAATAAGGGATACAAAAATGTGTATACTTACAATTTTTATATCCAGATCATCATTTTAAAGCTATTGCCTCCTTTTCCCTCTCCATGTAGGGAGTATCACCTTCCTACCTTCCTCAGCCCCTGGTTATTATGAGTATGTCATTTTTGTGGAAGGTCACACTTGCAACAGGAGGCTGCTGTGCTTCCTGATTCAGTTCTCCAGTTTATGCTGGGCTGTCCACAAGGCTAGAATTTGAAGAAAAAGGCAGAAGCTGGATTCTCTATACTTCTGTCTCCTGAGGTTTCTAAGGTTATACTAATCAAGAAACCACCCAAGGGACATTGTCTTTGTCAGCCTTACATCAAAGTTTATTTTTTTCCTGGAAGCTTGGACATGATTTGATGTTTCTTTTTATTTGCTTAGTGTTCTCTTGAGTTGTCTAATATTGAGAGATTCTTCCTTAGACTGTGTTCTGTGCCCAGCCTAACTTGTAAGACACAGAAGTCAGACATGAGTTGTAGGCTTATTAATTGCGGAAAACACCTTAGACATTTCTTGCCGTATCTCACCATTATTTTGTAGTTAGTTCTGGCTGGTAAGGTAGAAGGGAGTATATCAAATACCTGTTCTGCTCAGTTCTTACTGATTATTTCTTAGTCAGAGAAAAACTGACATTAAGTGCTTACCAATTCTATATTAGGAGTGAATGTGTTTAAACTCCGTAGTTAAAAGCTGAAGCCTGCAAATGCAGGAAATAAAATGTTTAAAGTATACTTAAAATAATGACTGAATAGATGTCTGGTTTGGGTAAAAGAATATAAATTATCTGCTACTTAAAAGAACTCAGTATCTTTAAATAACTTAAAACTGCTTTTTCAATTTCTAGCATGTATAGAAAATATGATTCAACTAGAATAAAGACTGAAGAAGAAGCCTTTTCAAGTAAAAGGTGCTTAGAATGGTTCTATGAATATGCAGGTAGGTAATCATTTGTATCATCTAAGACTGATCCTTATGACAATAAGGAGTACCTTAGAAGTAATTAAAGAATTTAAAAATGTGTACATTTCAAATTTGTGTGTGTATGTGTGTGTGTGTGTCCCTGTTAGAGGGAGAGAGGGACATAGCTTTAACAAATCACCAAATGGCCTATTTTTATAGCCAGCAGCTAAGCCAAATAATTCAGAACACTAGAAAGGAACTGAAAACATGAAATGACTTGGGAGAAGTACTTTGGATTGCTAGGAAAACTATTTAGAATGCTGATAGTGGGTGATTATTGGTCAAAGCACCTGTGTTAAAATAAGCTTTGCTGCTTTGAACCCCTAGAGCAGTGAAATTTCTTTATATTAAGTGTTTCTATTTGGAAAGATCATTTGGCAGAAAACATTTGTTTTGTCACTTAAAATGTCTTAAATTTAGTCTGTCTTTTTACAACTTACTATAATTGGTTGGGTAATATAATGTTGCAACCTGGGGCTTATTTGTTATTGTGGCTTTGTGTGGTGTAAAAAAGAAAAAATTTTCAAACAAGCATAAGCTGAAGACTCTTTCACCTTTCTTCTTTTTCACCTTACTTCAGGTTCTTTTATAACTTACCAACTGGCTATTCCAGCAACCTTCAAACCAATTTTCCTGTCATCAATCTCTTCTCCAGACAGCCTACCATGTGCCACTGTTGTCTTATTTTTTTTAAAACTAAGCTGAGCAGATCATACATGCATTCCTTAACAACCCCAACCGCTCCCCTCCAACCCCAACCCTATCTCCTGGCCAAAAAAATCCTTGCTATCTGCAGGATAAAAGACAGTGAACTCCCTGTGCTTTTGCCTGAAGTGATTTTCTCCACTTTTCTATCTAACATGCTCTATACATCTTTTAAACCCTTAATTAACTTAGTAGCCTTTTCTGTACTTCACAGGATAGTGTTTATAACTTTTTTTGGTTCCCTTTTGTTGGTATCAAAATGAGGAATTCCCCCTGTAGCCTGATCTGGCTATTTTTCTCCTCTTCCCACCCAACCCTTTTTGTGATAAGAGCCTTGCCCCTGTTGTCTGCAGAGATTGGTCTAGGTGACTGGCACATAACCCAGGCCAGGACAGTCAGACAAATCTTCCCAGGGGTTTTCAGACTGAAGCTGGGAGGAGCATGTCTTTCTCTTCTGGTGGAGGACTTGAGAGGCTACAGTTCCGATTCCTGTAGTTCTTCTTTGGACTTTTGTGAGCTACCCCAACATCTTTCTAATGAATTCTCCGTCATTCCTTTAACAACTTTGATCTGGATTTTGTTCGCGAGGCATGGACACTAGTGCAAACACATAGATGGTTTTAGCATTTGTCTGTTTTCATGTTTACAGACAAACATGAATTTGTTTGATTCATTGAACCCGAATCTCTTGGAAACCTTTAGAATTTCTAGTAAAAGTGATTGACAGCTGGGTGCGGTGGCTCATGTCTGAAATCCCAGCACTTTGGGAGGCGAAGGCAAAAGGATTGCCTGAGTTCAGGAGTTCAAGACCAGCCTGGGCAACACGGTGAAACCCCGTCTCTACTAAAATACAAAAAAACTTGTTGGGCGTGATGACATGCACCTGTAATCCCTGCTACTCAGGAGGCTGAGGCAGGAGAATCACATGAACCTGGGAGGCAGAGGTTGCAGTGAGCTGAGATTGTACCACTGCACTCCAACCTGGGTGACAGAGCAAGACTTTGTCTCCAAAAACCAAAAGTAATTGACACTTTGCCAGGTATTCTGTAAATAGGTTCTGAATGAATGAAGAGCATTCTCATATTCTTATCACATTGATTATGAAGATCTCTTGCTTTCTTATATTGATTCACATTTATTGTTATGAAAATGTTTTATTAGAAGGAAATTTTAAACAAAGAAAAAGTACACTTAATCCCATCACCATAGCATAGTTATTCTGATCTTTTGGTGTACCTTCCTTTATAAGCAAACAGATTTTTCCATAACAGAAGCTAAGAAAATAGCAAGGGATGACTTTTCTTCTTGTTTGTCTTTCTCTGACTGCAGAAAGGTGACATTTTGGACATAAAGATTAAGCTACATTATTTAGGTTCCTTGAAATCCCTGCTAAGTCGTTCATTTTAACTCATCCCTTAGCCATCCCTTTCTTTTTCCCCCTTTTGCTATAGCTTGTCCATGGGGAAAATAACTGGCATTGGGAATAACTGAAAGCCCCATTGGCATGTGTTTTCATTTTGTGTATTCTCAACCACATGAACTGAAACTGTAGGTCAGTATTAGTCAAGAAAAATGAATCGGGAGAAGAACCAGTGTGACTAACAGGTTGTGCTGTAGGATGAGTCTGTGGGAGCAGGCTGTGAGACCACAGGCCCCCTAGATACCAGCACAAAGAGGGCTTATAAGTGAACTTGAGCCATGCTCATTTTCCATAGAAGAGAGCAGGCTGGTTTGGGCTGAGGATAAATGCTGACTCCTTGCCTTTTAATCTGGAGGACACTGGAGTGGAGGGGCAGCAGGGTCCTGGTGTGTGATTATTTCACATGGATGGACCTTCAGCTCTTTCCAGCATTCTCAGTTCCACTTTGTACCTTGCTCTCTGCTTTACGTGGCTCCTGAGGCCTGAGCCCAGCTCCTCCAAGCTTATGTCTGGCCAGTTAACCCCAGTCGTCCACTGCATATTCTAGAATGCAGCTTCTCACTTTCTAAAATCTCCACCAGCTCAATTTCTGATCTCCAGAAATGTAATAAATAAACCGTCCTTCGCTGGGGGCTTTTCCTCCTGTTCTCTGATTGTAGGTTTACTCCCTTTTGCACTTTGGTACTTTAGCTCTCTGTGACTTTAGAAAGGATTAGCTGGGAGGTTCAGGGGAAGTGTTTATTTAGACCTTGATCTGAACCTGGACTCCCATTTTGTTTCATTAGAGCGAAGACAACCAGGCCGGGCATGGTGGCTCACGCCTGTAATCCTAACACTGGGAGGTCAAGGCGGGTGGATCATGAGGTCAGGAGATCGAGACTATCCTGGCTAACATGGCGAAATCCCGCCTCTGCTAAAATTACAAAGAATTAGCCGGGCATGGTGGCATGCGCCTGAGGTGCCAGCTATTCGGGAAGCTGAGGCAGGAAAATCACTTGAACCCAGGAGGCAGAGGTTGCAGTGAGCCAAAATTGCATCACTGCACTCCAGCCTGGGCAACAGAACGAGACTCTGTCTCAAAAAAAAAAAAGAATGAAGGCAACCAGTTTACATAATTTATCTAATAACTTCCACTTTTTGAAATGTATCTAAGAATAATGAATTAAACCAAATACACAGGTGCCAACATTGGTTTTACAGTTATACCAAAGCTCATATACATAGGTCATAATAGTTCTATAAGTTCTGACTGTAGGCCCTTAGTCTATTTTGGATTAAGTTCTATAGCAGAATTGTTTGGTTTACCAGAAATAAAGTCAGTCATGGACAGTTGTAACAAATAATAAACTGGTCTGATAGCGAAGGAAGAGATGTTAAAAACTACCAAAGAGACCATGTGGGCCCCATTTGCCTCCGTGATGTGGCGTGCTGTAATTATGGGGCCATCATGAAAAGGTCAAATACCTTTAGTTAGGGGCCCCTGCTTAAGATGGCAGGGAAAGTGGAAGGACCACTTCTTTCTGGATTATTGTCAATATATCAGCCTTACCAGATGTACCTCCAGTATCTTGTCACCTAGGGCATTTTATAGCTTATTATTTTAGATATAAGTTAAAAAAAAAAACTCAAACTTCACTTCTAACCTACTTTGTGTTAGCCAGTGGCATATTTGTTAGCTTGCTTGACAGAGGTAATTACCTTAATTCTACAGGTAAATTTAGTGTAAAATGCAACTAGAATCCCAACAAATCATGTGATTACAACTAGATTTAAATGTGTGCATGGGAAAGATGAGAAGAAAGGTGTTAGGGCTGGGCGCAGTTGGTCACGCCTGTAATTCCAACACTTTGGGAGGCTGAGGTAGGAGGATCGTTTGAGCTAAGGAGTTTGTGACCAGCCTGGGCAATATAGTGAGACCCCATCTCTTAAAAAAAGTGTTAAGATGGCAGGGTTATTGGTAGCATTTAAATAATGTTGATTGGCAAACTATTTTAACTATTTTGGATAAGATATTACTTTTGACAGTCATGCCATTGCAAATTATACTCTAAAATCTTGCTCTTCTAAAACACAGACATGCGTATATATAAGTAGTACAACAACACTGTATAAAATTGGGAAAAAAGAAAAAGCATGAATAACTTACATAACCCCTGCAAAGTATACCTCAGCAGACTTTTGTTGAGGTCTGGGGTGCAGTCAGCAGAAGCACTCTGCTCAGAGTTCATTTTCCCATGTGGCAAACAGGCAAATAAGTGAGAAACATTATCTTTATAGTGAACATTGACAGAAAGAGACGGCGGCAGCCAAGTTGGAGGATGCACGAGGGGGAGGGGAAGCTGGGTAACACCCAAGCCCTGTGCAGAGGCATGGCAAATGCAGGCGGCTTGCTAGGCTCAAGAATAAGTTGCACAGGCCGGGCACGGTGGCTCACACCTGTAATCCCAGCACTTTGGGAAGCCAAGGTGGCCGGATCACGAGGTCAGGAGATCGAGACCATTCTGGCTAATACGGTGAAACCCTGTCTCTACTACTAAAAAATACAAAAAATTAGCCGGACGTGGTGGTAAGCGCCTGTAGTCCCAGCTACTCGGGAGGCTGAGGCAGGAGAATGGCATGAACCCAGGAGGCAGAGCTTGCAGTGAGCCGAGATTGCGCCACTGCACTCCAGCCTTGGTGACCGAGCCAGACTCCGTCTCAAAAAAAAAAAAAAAAAAATTAAGTTGTACAGAAAGAGCTTTTTTAAATCAGGAAGAATAGAAACCAAAGAGAATTTTAAAAGAATTACAAAGTAACTTGCCCCCAGCTCTATGCAACTACTTCTCAATAAGCCATATCAGTAGATACCAAAAAGTATCTGTTGCTAGAAACAACACAAAATAGGAATAGATGAATATTTCCTTATCAGAATAATTATTCTTTAATCTCACAGCCTAAATACTTTACAGTAGTAGAATGATGAAAAGAACTTTGATTCATATAAATAAATACACACATATACACTTACAATGGGATAACATAAAATGTATTAATATTAGCTAAGAAGAATGAAGTAGATATATGGGTCCTGTCACAGGAAGATTACCAGACACAGTCAGTGAAAAAGGCAAGGTGTAGAATTACAGGTACCTCACAAACCTATGTACAAATTTGAAAACTGCATTTTAGTATATATTTGCCCATATATAGCAAAAAGGTCCAGGAGGATACCTGTCTATCTGGTAAAGAAAGGGAGAAGGCAACTTTCTTATTTAACTGTTTATTTTACTCTGTATCTTCTCTATTTGGATATTTTATCATGTGAATGAATTGATGTGTCGTGTGTCTAATACATACATGAATGTGCACATGTGGATATATGCACTCTCAAACCAAAGAAAGCAGGCAATATATTGTATGATAAAATGCTAAATGTCCTATATGAGTCAAGAATGAGATAAGAATGTCCACTCTCACTACTCTTATTTGCCATTGTTTTGGAAGCTACTAGCCACTGCTGTTAGACAAGAAAAAGGAGGAGTGTAAATATTTGAAAGGAGGAGACAGAAATGATCATTGCAGATGAAATGATTAAATTACTTTACAATTGGAAGGCCAGAGAGAATGCCTGGGCAAACTTAGAAACAATAAATATGTATACATTCCATGCCTATACAATTCTATGAGATGGCTTATTTTGGGAAGTGTTGTTAAAGAAGCTCTTTAATAAATAGTTGTCTCTGCAGAGTAGGGAGGAGTTAGAGGGGGATAACTTCACTTTTGGAACATCTTTATTTTTTATTTTCAAATGAAACTTTTTATCATGTTTATGTATTAATGTACAAAACTAAAATATTACTTGGTTTTCTTCTGATAATCAAGAAAACTAGTAATACAAAAATATATATATTTATATAAAAATTTATATTTTTATATTTATGTTTATACATTTATATAAAAAAGGGGATAAAAGGGGACAAAATCCCAGAAAAAAGTAACAGATTTGAATATATGAAGCAAAACATTGTGTAACAAAGTAGAACATTTGTGATTAAAAGGAAAATAATGGCAAGGAGAGAAAAGTATTTGCTTTGGCCAGATTATGAGGAAGGGCCTGAGTTTGAACTTTAGGGAGAGCCAAGGATTCGAAGCAGAAAAATGACTTAAGACTTTCCAGCAGGAGCTTCTTGTGACTTTAATGTTCCTCCTTTGTTAAGAACAGCCACCATATACTTTGTGTTAGTGAAAGTCTTGTTACTTTGTATTGAAGTTACTCCTGTGCCTTGTCTCCCTTCATGGAGGGCAGGGACCATTTGCACCCTAGGCAGCTACTGCAGTGCATAGCTCCAGAATGTGTCTAGTAAATGTTATGGTAATGAAATGGATACATTCTTTTTTTTTTTTTTTGAGATGGAGTCTCGCTCTGTCGCCCAGGCTGGAGTGCAGTGGCGCCATCTCGGCTCACCGCAAGCTCCGCCTCCTGGGTTCACGCCATTCTCCTGCCTCAGCCTCCCGAGTAGCTGGGACTACAGGCGCCCGCCACCTAGCCCGGCTAGTTTTTTTGTATTTTTTTAGTAGAGACGGGCGCGGTGGCTCAAGCCTGTAATCCCAGCACTTTGGGAGGCTGAGACGGGCGGATCACGAGGTCAGGAGATCGAGACCATCCTGGCTAACACGGTGAAATGGATACATTCTAAGATGGTGGATTCTGCTGGACTTGGTGACTTGCTAGATCTAGAGGGTATGGGAGGATTGTAGAGCGATTCCTATATATTCTGGTATTCAGCCATTCATTTATTCCTTCATTCAGTTTTTATTGGACCAACTACTATATACCAGATGGTATGCTGAACTTGTAAGAATAAAAGAACTGCTCTTGAGCTTAGAGGGAAAGACAGATGAGCTGGGACTTTGAATGCAGTGTGCTAAATGTGTGAGAACCATTCCTAGCATTGCGAGGGGTCACAGGACCGCCTGACCCAGCCTCTGCAGGTGGGGAGATTGAGAGGACTGCCCCTTTGCTCTGAGTCTTAAAGGTTGAATAAGTTCGCCAGGGGAGTTGGGGGAAGGGAGAGGAGGGGACAGGAAGGGGACTAGAGGAAGATAGGCAGAGACACAAAGAATAATACCATGCTGGGTGTGTGTTCGGTGGTGGTGCAGAGTGAAGCCACATTTAAGTAGGTGTTTCTGGACCTTGATTTTTACTCATCCGGCAATATTTATTGATTCATTTATTTCTGAGAAACTTGTTTTACAGTTAGAAAGATATAAGACTGAGGAGGGAAGAAAGGCACTAGATCATAGAGAACCTTATGTGATAAGCCAAACACTTTGGATTTTATCTTTAGGCTCTAGGGAGCCATTGAAGGATTTTAAGCCAGCATGGGATTGCGTTTGAAGTGGATCCCTTCAGTGGCTGTTTGCAGGATGGGTCAAGGGGGAAAGACTCTGGAATTAGGAAATCATGAGGAGACTGCTGTAGTTGTCAAGAATAAAGCTTTGAAAGAGCATGGTGCAGGAGAGGCACAATTAAGAAATAATTAGAAGGTAAAATTGGTAGTACACTTGATAATTGATTGGGTGTGGGAGAAAGGAGGAATACAAGATGACTCCCAGGTTTCTATTTCTGGGTGTGCCACCAGCTGGGACAGCATACCAGAGGATAAGCAGGCCTGATATGGAGAGACATTGGGCTCCATTTTAGTGAGGCAGTGTTTGAAAATGTGAAATTCAGGAGGAGTAGGTGTGAAGCAGAAGAAGAGTGTAGTTATGGCAGTTAAACAGGAGGTAGAGCAGCTAGTGAATAAAGTGGCAAGTAGTTCAAAAGTAAGGGGAAAATGTGGTCTAGAAAGACATTTGGGTAGGACCTGAGACCTTGAGTATGGTTGAAATTTCCTGAGAATAATGTATATAGCAAGCACTAGAAGAGGTTTAAGGATGAATCTTTGCACATCAAATTTAACCATCTGGGATAAGCAGAAGAACCCATAAAGAAGCCAAAAGAAGAGAGGAAGAAGGAGAACCAGATGAGAGAGGGTGCTTCCGGAAGTCATGGGAAGAGACAGTTTTGTGAAGAAAGAACTGCTTCAGATTTTCAGATATCACTCAATGGTCAGTTAAAACAAAGACCGAATTTGTCTGTTAGATTCGACATTTAGGGGGTTATCAGAGACCTTGGCAAAAAGAATTTCAGTGGAGAGCTAGGAGAAGAAGAAACCAAATTCCAATGGCTGCAAAGTGAAACGGAGATAAATTAGAGATGGAATGTGTGGACGCTTCCTTCAGGAAGAATCAGGGCTAATGCTAGAACGGAAAAAGGGGACCTTACTGACTTTATCAAGAACAGAGTGATAACTTGATTTTTTTCTATGTAAAAGAAACATTTATGTTTTTTCTTATTTAATTTTATAGAGACTATTATGTGGTTCTTTGCTGTGTTTCCAAAAATTATTTTATGTATTGAAGTTATTACCCAAGTAAGAGTTGAAGATTAAGCTGTTTTAAAGAGGAGGAATTGAATTCAACCTTAACTTTAGACAAATGGTATATACCATATTCCAACGATTGAAGGACATGGTGATAAGTTGATTTAAATGATTGTACAAAGTAGAGTCCTTCAAAGATACTGGAATTCCAGAATACTTTTCAACTTATACTTGATTTTTTTTTTCCAAAAGGAGTTAATGGCCTTTAAGTCTTACTTGTTGACAGTATATTACTACTACAGTGGTAATAGAGTAGTGTGCATGGTCAGATTTAATTTACATAAGATTGTATTTCACAGGAACTGATGATGTTGTAGGCCCTGAAGGCATGGAGAAATTTTGTGAAGACATTGGTGTTGAACCAGAAAACGTGAGTCTAACTTACTGAGTTGGGTGAATCCGTTGGTTATTTTTCTTACTTAAATCTTTGTTCTTTAGCAAATAAATAAATAAAAACTAATGGTATGTTAGTTTTTATGAAGCAATCTAAGAAATAAGTTCCAATTCTAGTTTGACTTATAAGCACATTTTCCATTCTTGTAAGTGATATGGTGTAACTACAGTTATTTTTTCTCTCATTTAATTTCTTGTATGTAAAAGGTACAGTAAGCCAGATGCTTACAAAATGGTGTGGCCACATTTGCCTACAATGACGGATCAACTGGAGGCCACATTGTACACTGTGTACCTTCGTGCCCCTCAGTAGTTGTTTCAGCCTAATGTAGAGTCAATGTAGGACTTAAAATTATTCACCATGATTTTGAGTAGATTGTAATTATCAAGACTTTTTCACAGATCTTTTACTTCCAATTGAATTTAGTTCAGAAAGTGATTGTTTTTTTTTTTTTTTTTTGAGACAGAGTCTCACACTGTCACCAGGCTGGAGTACAATGGTATGATCTCAGCTCACTGCAACCTCCGCCTCCCGGGTTCAAGCAATTCCTCTGCCTCAGCCTCCTGAGTAGCTGGGACGACAGGTGTATGCCACCACACTTGGTTAATTTTTTTTATATTTTAGTAGAGATGGGATTTCACCATATTGGCCAGATGGTCTCTATCTCCTGACCTTGTGATCCACCTGGCTCAGCCTCCCAAAGTGCTGGGATTACAGGTGTGAGCCACAGCACCCAGCCATGATTGCTTTTTATAATGTAAAAAGCCCTAGATATTTATTTTTAATTAGAGTGATTTTTATAGGCTTAATTATTTTTGCCTAATTCTTAACATGTTATTGTTGAATATTTTTTTCCGTTCCCACATCACCTCTCTTATACTAAAATGAAAAACTATGCTTATACACATGCACTGCCTCATTAACTATGCAGTTTAATATTACATTAGCTCCAGTTTAACAAATATGTACAAGACCCTAAATGAATTTATGATCTGGAAGAGATCTCAAGAGATCATTCCCTTTATTCAGGCTGTTTCGAAGACATCTGCCCAGGCATATATATCATGCTTTTAAAGAAACTAGCAAAAATCACATTTTTTTCTTTAAACTTTTTATTTTACCCTTACCATTTCTGTGCTTCTGTCATCTACCTTGGCCCCCAGCAATGCTTTAAATTTTCTAAAGAGCCTTTGGAATGTCTTTCACTTATTACATAGATTTTTATCTTGTGTGTGTGTGTGTGTGTGTGTGTGTGTGTTTAAATGTGTTCCAGTTCAGGTATTTCAATAAATTACCCAACTTGGCATGAAGGTTTCGGGACACCTGGGTCAATAGTATTTTACCATAGACTGGGCCATAGGCACAAGAAAAGACCATTACATTGAATTTAAGAAGGAAGTTTTCTATGAGAGCTGGGCCAAGCTTGGCAGAGTGTTTTCTAAACAGTGTAGTCAGAGGGCTGAGAGTGAGTTGGGCTTGAGAGGGGCTCTGGAGGTTCCACATAGGGTACCGTAATAAGTATATGACAGAGGAGTGGCAGCAGGGCCTGGGCTTGAAGTTAGAGGCTGAGAAGATTGGGAGACAAAGGGCTCGCTGGTATGTGAGGGATTAGCTGAGCATTTAGTCTCAGAGGCAGAAAAGCCTGTCAGGATGGGAGAGCACTGATGTTGATTCTAACTGAAAAAGAAAGGGAGGCCCAGCTCTTCAAGTTTCTTCACCCCCAAATACCAGTACTCAATAAAAGATAGTTATTGTCATTCTTTTTTGGTAGTTATGAGTCCTTTAGAACTCTGTTTCTGGCCTGGCATGGTGGCGCTCATGCCTGTAATCCCAGCACTTTGGGAGACCAAGGCAGGTGGATCACCTGAGATCAGGAGTTCGAGACTGGCCTGGCCAATAAGGCGAAACCCCATCTCTACTAAAAATACAAAAATTAGCTGGGTGTGGCTACTTGGGTGGCTGAGGCAGGAGAATCACTTGAACCCAGGAGGTGGAGGTTGCAGTGAGCAGAGCCAAGATCATGCCACTGCACTACAGCCTGGGTGACAGAGCAGGACTCTGTCTCCAAACAAACAAAAAACTCCATTTCTGTAGGAATAGAAATAGCCTTAAAATTTAGAATCATATTAAAGACTAAAAGGCCATATTATCCAAGTATGTAGGCCGGACGTGGTGGCTCATGCCTGTAATCCCAGTACTTTCAGAGGCTGAGGTGGGTGGGTGGATCACGTGAGGTCAGGAGTTCAGACCAGCCTGGAGAACATGGTGAAACCCCATCTTTAATAAAATACCAAAATTAGCCGGGTGTGGTGACGTGTGCCAGTAATCCCAGCTACTCAGGAGGCTGAGGCACGAGAATCGCTTGAGTCCAGGAGGCGGATGTTGCAGTGAGCTGAGATCGTACCACTATACTCCATCCTGGGCAACAGAGTAAGACTCTGTCTCAAAAAAAAAAAAAAAGAATATTATCCAAATATTTACACTGTGTGTACTTCAATTCCAAGCTGTCACCAATAGAAGTTATATTATTTTATATCACTAAGAAAGAAAAAGTGTTGCTAAATAAATTCTGACATGCTATATCAATTGTGGATGCATTCCCATTTCAAAGACATTAACGTTTGTAAAACAAGTGGTGAAATATGGTGTTTTCAAGCCTTGTCTGCATTGATAGGCAAGCACATTTAAAGTATTTAAAACCCTCACCTTGCCTGATATTTGTAGCTTATGAAATTAAGCAGGCTTGTAAAATTCAAGTCTACGTTCATTTACCAAGATAACAGCAAAATTCTTTATTTAAGTACTTAGCTTTCTTGTTAGTTAACTTATGAAAGTCTCTCTTTTAGGAACTTGCCCATTATGAGTATCTGTTTTGGCTGCTTGGCCATGTTTCATTCATACTTGTGTGTGTGTGTTCTTGCACCTCACCATTTTTTTTTTTAACTTAACAAGTGTTTATGTAGAATTTTTAAATCTTTTTAGTAGAGAGTAGAATAGAGATGGTTTGAGAATACCTAGTTTGCATTCGAAAATATGAGCTGGTTAGTTGTCTTAGGTAAATTGATATGCAAGAGTCAGAATTCCTAGACACCTGAGGGATGAGGAGAAAATCCACTAATGTGTGAATAATTTGAAGAACTGTAACCCCATCGTTTTGGGAAATTCTTAGTAGCCCCTCGGTCTCTTAAGTCACCACTTTCTAACCTATTTAACAATCATGTTTTAGCCTTGTAAGCAATCATTACTAATCAGTCCTAGTGATTTACCTAGTAATCTAAATTTTTTAATCTAAAACAACCTAATGACTTTCAAAAATTCATATGTACTGATTTATTTGATGAAAGATCCTAAAAATTTTGTAGGTTCTCACTGATACTAATTTCCGGTGAGGAAAACCATAAAGCATCAAGAGAAAGCTTCTCCTTACTACTCTAGATGTAAATTAGACAAAGCTAGAGATTTTTTAGCCTACAACCTAGCTTATTGGCAGACAATTTAAGAAGAGCTTCTGAATCTCCTAACTACTCTTGTTCTAGAGTTTTTAATGGACATGTTGGCTCTCGGAGGCTCAGAAATCATTAAAAATGATTTCTTGCCTCATGTTTCATGTTTTTATATCATCCTAGTTCCTTTTACCACAGCCATCATCTGACCCAGTTGGGCACAGGGATGGTGTTTTAATGGTTTTGAATGATTCTTTCAGTAGCTGAAATGAAGCCTTAGGTTTAAAAGTAAAGAGATCGAATTAACTGCCAATGTTGGGTATCCTAGTCCTTGGAGAAACATATATCTCTACCCATTGCCTTTTTCTGTTTCAATACAGAGAGAGAGCCTGTTAACAGTGTGTACCTGATTCCCATTGTAGGACTTGGATGTTCCTTATATATGAATGACCGTCCAGAGATAACCAGTTCTACAGAGTGGCTGGCAGAATGGTCCTAAGAAGGCCCTGTCCCTCCTCTTTACCTTTTTAGGATTGACATTCTTTTTTAGTTACTTCTCACCTCTTCTAGCATCTTTGAGGTAGATGAGAAGGAAGGCTTCCTCCTCTTGTCCCAATCACACATGGCCTCAGCCCTGTCCCTATGTAGCATTCCAGATAGCTTAAAACTGGGTGCACCTTTGAAATGTCATTTTGTCTTTACACCTTCAGGTATTTATTAAAACTCACCATCAGTTCTCTGTGCTATCTTTTCTCTAAAATAGCTAAGTGAAACAGTAGCAAGCAGTGGCATAAACCAGAGTTGTCACCGTTTCTGAAACCTGCATGGTTTCAGAAGAGTCACAAAAGCACAGGTGGCACCTGGGGGCCTGACCCTCCTTTACAAGTGATGGGACCATGCCACAGACCCTGGGCCCATTCCAGGCATAGTGCTGTCTTAAGTGGAATGTGGGACTACTTTAAAATAATTTCCAACCAGTGTATATAGTGAATTCACAAACATTAAAGTATATGTGCTACAACTCCACTGCGTGTCTCCTCCTGTCCACCTTGTTATGTTTTAATCCACTGTTCTACACCTTGCTATTTCACTTAATACATCTTGGAGATTATTCCATATTTGTCCAGCTAGTTCTACTTCATTCATCTTAGTGGTGTCATAGTATTCCTTTATATGGAATGTATTCAGCAAAGAAGTATTTAACCAGTCCCTTATTAATGGACATTTGGTTGTTTTCAGTCTTTAACTGCTACAAATTGTACTGCAGTAAATACTGTTGACTATTCATCTTTGTGTCTGTTTACAGGTAGACCTATAAGATAACTTTCCATAGGTGGAATTGTCAATAACTGGTTTTACATTTGATACTGCCCTCTGGAGAGAGTGATCACCCTACACCTCCACTATTGTACATCAGGAGAATACATGCTTCTCCAAACTCTTATCAGCAGGCGATATTGTCAAATTTTTTGGATATTTGCCAAACTAGAACTCATTTTTGAAGTTAACTCTGCTCATATTTCAGTGACTGAACTACTGTAAACAGACGCATTTGGCAAAATGTTAATGTATTAATGACAGATCTGTTTGTTTATTCTTTTTTAATTTGTCTAATATATTTTTTTAATTGTGTATTTTTTTAACAGGTAGTTATGCTTGTCCTAGCTTGGAAATTGGATGCACAAAACATGGGCTATTTTACTCTACAGGAGTGGTTGAAAGGAATGACTTCTCTCCAGTAAGTCCCAGGCTGCACTCGTGGGGTCCCTGCCCTTCCCAGGTGGTTGCCTCTTCCTGGGACTTCAGGTTTCAGGTGATTGAGTGAGTGGAAGGAAGTCAGGTGGTCTGGCCAAGCTTCCTCAGTGGCCAAGGATGTAAAGACTAAGACCCATTTTGAGGACTATCCTGGGTGAATTTATAAACTGTCTATACGTGTATGTGGAGAGACAAGTGTGTGTTGGTATTCTTGTAGAGCAGCTCTCTCCAAGAGAAGTAGACCAACATTTTCTCATATGACAAAGCCACCTATGTAATGTAAGATTTTTTGATAGCCGCATGTAAAAGTAGAAACAGGTAAAATCAGTTTTAATCTATTTTATTAACCCCAAACAATCCAGCATATTTTCATTCCAACATATAATCAGTGTTTTTAAGAAGTCAATGAGATATTTTTATGTTATTTTTTCTCATGGTTAGTCTTCAAAATCTGGGGTGTATTTTATGGTCCATCTCCATTTGTATTAGCCACATTTCAAGTGCTCAGTAGTCACATGTGCCCAGTGGCTATTGAGTTGGACGGTGCAGTTTTAGAGATTAAAAGGCAAAGACTTACTGGCATCTGGTTTATAGTTAGTGAGAAAAAGTTGAGTAACATATTACTTGTAAGTTAAAATATTTGATATCTCTTTATATATTCTGATTTTAGCTTTGGGTAAAATTAAAACTTCATTACTCCAGTGATTTAAAAAATTAATAAAGATTTGGTTTGTGTAACCTGACCCAGGATAAGAAAAATCAGTGGTTTTATGTATTTGCCTTGTGCATACAGTATGTGCGTGTGTGCACGCGCCTGCGTGTTGTGTGTTTGCTCAGTTTCATTCAAGAAAACAAATTGTCATTCTATATTAGGCCTTGAAAGATGCAGTTAAAGTGGATGACTAAATGTTTCAAATAGCATTGAAGATGAAGTGCTAATTCTTAACATAGTAATTTTAATCTAAAGTAGTTGGGATGACTTATCTTTTTCTTTTCACTTTAAGAATAATAGATCTTGATTTTTACTGGATTAGAATTGGAGTCGAAATGGTTTTATTTAAATAATTTTGGAATTTGTCCACTTTTAATGTCACTGTTCATTTGTTATTGTTAAGAGTGCTTTCACATTGTGCTTTAGTAGTTTATGAAGACTTTTCACTGTTCTCACATTTGAATGCCTCATAGCTACTTTGTGAAGAAGACAGATCAGATTTTATCCTGAACATTTTACAAATGAGGAAACTGAGGCAAAGAGGTGATCGGTGATGTGTGAATGTGGCAGAGATGGGAAGAACACTTAAGACTTCTCATTCTTAAATCATGTTCTTCCTTCTAACAATATTATCTGATGATAAACGAGTTTTAGGTAAAAGCCAAACCACCCTTTTCACCCTTTTACAAATATACTTTCCTATCAGAGTGTGTTCTAGAATTTTAGAGTTAAATTCTCTGAAATGTTTTAAAACTTGTTTGTCCTTTTGGGGGAACAGCTCCTGATGATTTTAATCCTATTCACTCTCTTTCATTATTTTTCTCACTTTTCTTCATTGTTTCCTTTTTCTTTTCTTTCCTTTTTTTTTTTTTTTTTTTTAGACGGAATGTCCCTCTGTCACCCAGGCTGGAGTGCAGTGGCATGCTCTTGGCTTACAGCAACCTCCGCCTCCTGGGTTCAAGTGATTCTTGTGCCCCAGCCTCCCGAGTAGCTGGGATTACAAGAGGGCACCACCACACCCGGCTGATTTTTGTATTTTTAGTAGAGATGGGGTTTCGCCATGTTGGCTAGGCTCGAATTCCTGACCTCAAGTGATCTGCCCACCTCAGCCTCCCAAAGTGTTGGGATTACAGGCGTAAGTCACCGTGCCTGGCCATCATTGCTGAGTAGAGCAGCCGATGGCTCCATTTTAAAGTGTCCTTGTGATGATGAATGCATGGGCATATCAGGATTTTATTTCCAGCCTTCAGATGAGGCACCATCAACATTTTCAGGCCCATTTTTATTTGTCTTAAGAAGGTGTGATACCCAGTTTGTATAGTACTAAGTTCTTTACAAAAGAATGTCCCTCTGCAAAAGAATATTACCTGATACCAGACCTTGCCCATGTGTTTTGAGGGCCATGTCTCCTGGGAAGTGAGAAGCAATTTCCTGGAAGAGGTCTGTGTCCGCGTTCTGAGTGCAGGGTACTCCTTCAGGCTGTTTGTTGGGAACCTTGCTTGCCACTTTGTATGATGCAGGTGGTAGCAGGTGGGTTCTCAGGGTGATTGCCACTTGATCCTTGCAATTCGGAGTTTAGTGACAAGCCTGATCCACTATAAAGACATGGAGGAACTGCTTGCTTTTTGTGATGTGAAACTCTGAGGTTGGTGTCCTCATCAATGAGGTGGAGATAATTATTCAGAATAACTTTTAAGTTTCTTTGTAGTTCAAAAATAGTCCAACTTCAAGTTTGAAGAACCTCTGCCTACCCTCCCACCCCTACTTTCCAGCCTTTCTAGATTAGTCATTTGTTCAGCAAATGTTTGAATGGCAGTGATATGCCAAGTGTAGTATTCCAGACCCTAGGGAAACAAAAACCATGAGTAAGATAAAGTCCATTAAGAGGAGGGGCTTATAAACAATATTAAGGCAAAAGATCTAAAAGTAACACGGTCACTTATCTTTATGCCAGTAAAGTAACTAAATAAGCATTGTATTTGTGAGGTATGTGCACCTAGTACTCAAGAAAACCCAGAGAGTGATCGTTTACATGCTCTAAAGGCAGAAAGTAATCTATCTTTTAAACTACTTTGTCTTCTGTTTTGGATTTCTTTTCTATTTTTGCTCATTTTGATTGTATTAAACCTATCTAATGAAATATTTTGATCTCAAACTGGAATTAACAAGTATAGAACAAAATCTTTATTTATATATATTCATGTCTTAGGCCATTTAGGCAGCTATAACAGAATGCTTTAGACTGGGTGGCTTATAAACAACAGAATTTTATTTCTCTGGAGGCCCAGAAGCTCAAGACCAAGACGCCATAGATTTGGTGTCTGGTGAGAGCCTGCTTTTTGGTTCAGAGATGGTGCTTTCTAACTGGGTCCTCCCATGTTGGAAGGGGCAAACAAGCTCCCTTGGGTCTCTTAACTAATCTCATTCATGAAGTTTCTGCCCCCAGAACCTAATAATATCACAAAGGCACCACTTTTTGATACCATCGTCTTGGGGGTGAGGATTTCAACCTACAAATTTAGGGAGGATGCAAACGTTCAGACCATTCATTATATTTAGTTAAAATGCTGCAAAAAAGATTTTTTAAAAAAGTTACTGTGTGGTGGGAGTGTGGTAGAAACAGAAAGCCCATGGGCTGTGAAACCAGAGTTTTCAATCGTTTCTGTCATTTCCTGGGTGTCTCTGGTAGCATCATTAAACTAGGGTGTTGAAGTACAGCTTATGGCTTATGCCTGGGCTCTCAAAAATTAATCTCCTTGATGCTCTCCAGAGGAATTGTGTGCTTGGCTTCCCTAGGGCCTGTGAACCTGGAACAGGAGGTGAATGGTGTGAGAGTTTGGTCTTAGGCTGGCAGCTGGTAGGGAACATCTATCCTTGCACTCCCGAGATCATTCCTCTGCCAGAGAAGACACAGCTCCTGTTTTGGTCTGATGAATTAAGCTAATTGTGGTGCTTAAACTTAAAAAAAAAAAGTGAGAATTGTAACTACAATAAACTGATGATGGCCTGGAAAAATACCTTTGGGATGACTAAGTGAAGGGGCAGAGGCCTTTTCCTGGGTAATAGGGGAAAGCTACCTCTGATTTTATAAACTTTGAAGATTACTGTGTTGATTTCTGTCCTTACAAATCTGTTACAGCAGCAAACTCAAAAAGAAAACATTGTGTGCATTTTTTGTGTTGGGAAATGGTGTTCCTTAGAAGCGTGGCACTGTCACTGTGACTTCTACAAGTTTTTTTATACATGGTACATAGAAACATGTTGGAAGACTTGAGTTAAAGATGTGGCTGCTTTCTAAAGTCACGTTGGTGGCTTACATGTCCCAAGCCAGGCTCTGTTAGAACCGAGTCTGAAGATGTGCATATTTACTGGCCACTAGATGGCAGCCTGTGGTTCTGGACAGGGTGACTCAGTGGCCTGTTTCACTATTGGGGGCCAGTCCAGGGGCTTTGTGTGTTCAAGACCCCCTTTAAAGCAGATTAAACTCTGTATTGGCAATATTAGCTCCAACCCCAGGTTTTTAATGGGTACATGAGTTAGTAATATTACTTGTGTATTTTATGTGAAAAGCACAAGAACTGTTCATTTCCTGCATTTCAGACAGGATCTCTGAGCATCTTTCAAACATAGGGACATCTTTTTGCCAAGGTGTTGGACTTGCTCCCAGGCATGCTGCAGAACTTCACATTTCTTCTCATAGTAGCTCTGCCTGGAGATTTATAGCTAACTTTATTTTCTTTTAACTATGGGGTAGTTATCTAAATTAGTGCTTCCTGCTCTTGAATCTGTTAAAACAAACAACTGCTCTTCTTCTTCTTCTTCTTCTTCTTCTTCTTCTTCTTAGACAGGACTAAACTAAACTGCCAGCCAAATCTGTGGCTTTGGTCCTTGACCCTCTTTCCAGTGAAGAACAGGGACCTGGACTTTATGGTTTTGGGTTACCCAGTTTCCCTCCTCTGTGACCCTCCACCATTATTATTAATATTATATTATTATATGCACACCATTAAAAACACTAACCCTATAGTAGAAGCACCCAGTGTAAATTCAGCCCTGCCTTCCAGACTTAACTCCTGTTTACTGCTTTCTTGTGTATCTTTCTAGTCCCTGTGACCCCCTCATTGGGATTCTGGCGCTAGATCTCTAACTGGCTCTCCGTATCTCTTTTCCTTCCCCCCAGTCCTTCTCCATGGAGATCAAGAGTGAGCTTGTCAAGATGCAGCCCTGATCATGGTCTTTCTCATAGTGGCAGGTGTCCTCCTTTGTTTCTAGGATGTAATTTTAAAAACCCTCACTCTGGACTACAAAAGCCCTTTATGAGCCCGACCCCGTGTTCCTCTCAGCATCATCTTACACCTCTTTCCATCTTCCTCTATACCCTCCAGCCACAGTGGCTGTCTTTTAGTCTGTTGGACTTACACCATACTCCTATCTGCTTCTAGGCCTCTGCATATGCTGTTCCTAATAGACAGAGAGCTTTTCCCACCTCTCCAAAATATCTAGTTCCTGCTTATCTCTCAACTCTTAGCTTATGTGTCATTCTCTTGAAGAAGTGTTTTCCGACTCTAAAATAACCCAATTTTAATCTTTTTTACTTTTCACATTAGGAAGAAATAAAGGACTTTCTAAATTGTTCTGTTTCATAGAAATTAAACATTTAGCCTAATTGCAGGCTCTTAGTTTATCATCTCAACAAAGAGATCATAAGGATTTATTTGTAGTTAGGTACAAAGAAGCAGCAGATTTTAAAAACAGGTTTGTTTTTAAAAATAGATTAGTGTGCTCTATTATGAACCATTTTAGTTTATACAGTATATAAAACATACTGATAATACTTGGTATATGTATTATCTGTACTTAGTAGGTTAAAGATCTATAATAGAGAAACACAATACATATTCAGCATTGAAAATCTTTAATATTGCTGGTGAAAATGGTGGCTCTTGATTCTCATTTTTAAGGGCTAGATATTGCAAACAGAAAATTAGTTTGTAAAAAGAGCCAGTAAGTCTGCTTGCTTATGAAAAGTAAACACTGTATCACTTACTGGTAAAAACAGATTATCACCACCAAGGCTCCCTGGAGAAATGGCTGATTTCAAGTCTGGAATAGGGTAAGAACAGGGTGAGCTGGAACATCTTGTTCCAGAAAGTAAGGTAATGCTCAGAGACTTGGCGGGGACATGTCAGAAGGAAACTAGAACCAGCTTTAGGGGGCTACTGCCCAAATGGGGAAAGTTTGTACAGTCAAAAAGAATAATGACAGTAACAGATTATAACACACTGAATTAAACACAATACTTACTATTTCAAAGAGGAAGAATTGCTTTTCAATGGAAAATGGTAGACACCACCATAACAAAATAAGAAGGTCATGTGTGGAGCTCTTCTTTATAGAAGAATTATAGCCAATAAATGTAAAAGGAATGATAGGATTAGAAAATCACCATCTTGGATCTTCAGATGTTACTGATTCAGGCAGGTATCACCAATGGATGCTATAAGCGTTGTGTGTTGTCCCGAGTATGTCCTCCTTGTGAGGTCTTTAAAGATCATTCCAGCATGGCCACAGAACTTCCACTGGGAGAGGCATAGGAGATTAAAGGATTTATTTTATTCTCAGGTTATAGAGAGGGAAGCATGGCATGCCACACAGGGAGCTATATGGGAGAAGCTCCCAGGGAGTGGGCTCTGCTAAGCAGGTGGGGAACCTAGAGAGAGTGAGGACCCATGGGCAAGTTCCTTCCCTGGATGTCAGATTGGTGGGTGTGGATGTCACTCAGTCATAGTCAGGGGAGGGCAAGAAGGGGACTCTGTGGCAGGGGGCAGACTTCTCACTAGTGGACCTGGTCTCCTGGATAGGATGTTCATTGCTTATTTGTGGGGATATTGAGACAGGAGGAAAATAGGAAGTTTAAGTAGTGTACAATACACATTGAGTGAAAGGTTGTTAGGACTGTACATTTATAGTCTCAAGGGATCATCCTGTAGATACTTACTATTTCAAAGAGGAAGAATTGCTTTTCAATGGAAAATGGTAGACACCACCGTAACAACAGGAATCCAGTAATGGGACAGGGATAGACAGACATGATGAATAATGTTATTGGATCTAATATAATCATAGGGAAATTATGATTTCCCTATGATCATATATAGTGTTGGAAGTGTTGGATCTAATATAATCATAGGGAAATTATTTGACAGATGGACATTCTGCAAAAGCAAGTGGTCTGGTCTCCAAAAATGACATTGTCAAGAAAGAAAAAGGCAGGGCACTCCTTCTAGAGACTAAGGAAATATGACAGCTAAAAGCAGTGCATGGTCCTTGATTGGTTCCTGGTTGAAAACAGCTATAAAAGAAATTGGGGAATAACTGGGAAATTTGCATGTGGATTGTATATCGGCTAAGAAAGTTAACATTGATACAGTAGTAAGACTGATGATGGTTTTGAAGTGTTTAGGGATGAAGTTTCATTGTGTTTGCAACTTTTAAATGGTATAGAAAATGTATACGTATATGAGAGAGAGTGCATAAATAGAAAAAAAGTTAATTGCTGGATCAAGGGGATAGTATATGAGTGGTTATTTACTATTCTTTCAACTTTTCTGTACATTTAAAAATTTTTTAAGTGTAGAGAAAATAGATTATGGATGGGTTTCAACTTCAGGGTTTGTTCTTTCCTTTGGTATTGGGTTTATATTACTGCCTCAATTAAAAAAATTAATAAATGAACTCAGTTCATAATTTGCTTTTATTTTGTTTTTCTAGATGTGATACAACAGAAAAACTCAGAAATACTTTGGATTACTTAAGATCATTCTTAAACGATTCTACAAACTTTAAACTTATTTACAGATACGCGTTTGACTTTGCACGGGTGAGTTCTCTGGAGCCTATCCAGATGTTTCCCTCTTTTCCCTCCGCCTTTAAAATTTCGTTTTGAGGTTCGTTTTTACATGCCACAGCAAAAAATCTTGAATAAGTTACTCCCAGGATGCTAGTTAGCATTTCTTTCTACATGTATGCTTTTGAAAACGAAGTTTGATTCTGGGCAAACATTTTGTAAGTCAGCAAAAAGCTCTAGTGGCAGACGTTTACTGGCTCTTGCAATTGGTTTAGAAGTAACATGGGCATGCAACACACACTGTCTTAAATATCTCTTAGATAAGCTTGGAAAAGCTTTCCTTCTCACAGAACAACAAACCTTCTCCTGTTGACTTTACTAGAATAAGCTAATCATATCTAATTCAGATTCACCCTGGGTGTTATTATTGTATTTAGAAATCATGTGAATTTTAGACCTAAGCTACTTTCAGTGAACATTACTCAAATGTATTTTTCTAATCATCGTTTTGAAAAGCAATTACCCTGTTTCTCACGTAGTGAGTCAAGTCGAAGTATGTGAAAGTGGTTCCCTTGGAGTGAAATAAAAGTCTTACTTTTCAGCCTAGTCACCACACATAGTGAATTTTGAAGCACCAGCTGGCATCATACTCAATTCAAACAAAATCTGTATCCCATACAATTATAGTTTATTCTGAAATGATGTTTTCTGTTAAGTCTGTTTGTTTAGTGGATTCAAGTGACTAGGCTTTCTTGTTTGATTGCATTTTTTTTAATGATTTTTTTTTTTTAAGGCAGAGAACTCAGTGACAAATGATTCTTTTTTCCTTGCCACCATATTGATTTTTTTCACTTTTTACTCTCTTTGGCTCTGCCAGTTCAGCACCAAAGGAGATAGTGAATTTTGATACATCTTGCAATAACGTTCTCTGTGGTGCCTTCATTCATGCGTTTTCCCATTATTACAACCTTCTAGTAAAATCACACCATGCATAGCAATGTATTGATGTTAAAAATGATGAGGTAAAATTCAGATACAGTGTATGATAAAATGGCATTTACATAATAGTATATAAAAGTTACATGCCAGACCAGACACAGTGGCTCATACCTGTAACCCCAGCACTTTAGGAAGCTGAGGCAGGAAGATCACTTAAAGCCAGAAGTTTGAGACCAGACTGGGTAACATACTGAGACCCTGTCTCTATAAAAAATAAATTTAAAAATTAGCCAGATATGATGCTTGTAGTTCTAGCTACTCAGGAGGCTGAGGTGAGAGGATTGCTTAAGAACAGGAGTTCGAGGTTAAAAAAAGAAAAGGGAAGTTATTTGTCATATGCTTTTTTTGCTAAATGCTTTTAAAATAGTTAACTGGTTTCTAGGATTAAATAGTTTATTTCATGAGTTTTTTTTTTTCCTCCCGAAGTCAGCTGTTTCTTATAGTATGGGCAGAAATTCATTTGGAAACATCATACCTTCTCTACTCAAATCACCTCTATTTTCTAACTTCCTTGATTGGGGGGTCACAGTTCTCCCAGATATTCAATGTGCTTTAGATCCAGGTTCTGCTTTACTCCTCCCTGGCTTCCGTCCCATTCTGGGGCAGTCACCCTGGCCCATCTCATGAGTGCTCCTTTGGCCACCTTTTTCTTGGTGCCTCCACTGCAGCCTTACCGGTGGAGGCCGTGCTTCTCCTTACCAACACTCTTCTGGTAGCCTCATGTCCACATTCTTTCACTTCTTACCCAGCGCTCACATCACTAGGGTGTCATTCCTCTTCCTTCAGCCCCTGGGTCACTCAGCCACCTTCCTGCTCCCCACAGCCTCTAGTACCTCCCCACTGTCTTTATATCGACCCAACACTTCCCTGTGTGTATGACACAGTTGTTCCCACGGCAGCTCTGAGGGACAGCCAGGGGTGGTTTCAGTCCACAGAGTAAGAAAGTGCGCTTCAGCAAAGGGGAGAAATGGCCACGTTGTTCATAGTAGATCCATGACTCAAACCGAGGCCTTCTGTCTCCAGGTCTAGTGTGTGGGTTACTCCAGACCCTCACAACTAAGTCCCAAGCTTCCCCATGCAATGCCTGCATTGTGATGAAATTGCATTAACGGTTGCTCACTGGCCCTGCTTCCTGGCATCTCTGCATTCTGCCTTTGGTCATGCTGGGCCCTTGCCTTGCACCCCATTTGCACTAGCATAGTTGTACCCATCCAGGCCCTGGGTCTGAGCCACGTGCTTCTGCTTCCACACAGCCTGCCCGTCAGCCTGTCAGGGATCATCCTGTCAGGGTGGTGCTGGTTTCAGTTACATACTCCTGGTGTCTCCTCTGCTTGACTTTGAAGTTTGAGTACAGAACTTAATTTTTCCTGGTAGATTGAGGGACTCTGTACTTTCTTTCTTTGTACGTCCTTTGTTTTAAAGGAGAGTCTCAATTAATATTGGTGGATTAAGCCCTTTCACATAACAATAAATAAAAACAACCATATTTAATCATTGCCTAATTACCAGATAGATTCAGTTTAGCTAAAATATGCTCTAAGATAAATTTTTTAATGGATCCTGTTCTTTTTTGCTTTGTTTTGTTGAGCTGTATTTTCACTAATTTTGAGATGTTGTATTTTCATTTTCATTCAGTTAAAAATATTTTCTAGTTCCCCTTGTTAATTCTTTTTTGGCCCATTGATTATTTAGAAGTATGTTATTTTCCAGGTATTTAGGATTTTCCAGATATTCTTTGTATTATTGATATTCAGTTTAATTCTGTTGTGGTCAGAGAACATACCCTGTATAATTTTAATCTATTTGATTTATGGTCCAGAATATGGTCTGCTGCAGTGAATGTTTTATGCGTACTTTAGAAGAATGAAATGGTCTACTGTTGTCAGTGGAGTGTTCTATAAATGTCAATTAGGTCAAGTTGGTTGATAGTGTTGTTCAGGTCTTCTGTATTCTTCCTGATTTCTGTCTACTTGTTCTATCAACTACTGAGAGAGGAATGTTGAACTCTCCACCTGTATTTCTTCTGTCACCACTATCACTTTTTTGCTGCATGTTTTGAAGCGCTGATATTAGGTTTAGACATACTTAGTATTGTTATATCCTCTTGATGAATTGAGACTTTTTACCATTATGAAACGTCTCTCTTTATCTCTAGTAATATTCCTTATACTGAAGTCTACTTTGTCCAATACAAATGTGTTCACTCCAACTTTCTTTTGATTAAAGTCTGCATGCTATATCTTTTTTAAATCTTTTACTTTTAACCTGTTTGTTTCTTTACGTTTAAAGTGGGTTTCTTATAGATAGCATATGGTTGGGTCTGACAATATGTGTTTTAACTGGGATGCTGAAACTGTTACATTTAATGTAATTATTGGTATGGTCAAAATTTATATCTCTTATCTTGCTATTTTTTCTCTATGTATCCCACCTATTTTTTGTTCATTTTTTCCTCTTTTCATGCCTTCTTTTTAGATTAATTTTTTAAATCATTCCATTTTATTTTTACTATTGCCTTATTAACTTTTTTGTCCTAGTAGTTGCTCTGGGCGTTCCAGTATACATCTTTAAATTTCACAGCCTACCTTCATATAATATGCCACTTCATGTATAATGCAAGAATCTTTTACAACAGTATATTTTCATTTTGCCCTCTCATACCTCATGCTGTTTTTGTCATATATTTTATTTAGGCTGTAAATCTCACAATATGCTGCTATAACTTTTGCTTTAAATTGGCAAAAATGTCTTTTATTGTTACTCAGATATACCAAATATATCATTTCTATGCTCTTCATTTCTTTTGTGTAGATCCAGATTTCTATCTGGTATCATTTTCCTTCTGCCTAAAAAACTTTCTTTAACATTTCTCATAGGATAGATCTGCTGGTGATGAATTCTGTAAGCTTTTATTTTGCCTTCAACTTAGAAAGAGACTTCTCTGGGTAAAAAATTCTAGATTGACACTTTATTCTTTCAGTACTGCAGTAATGTCTCTGCATTATCTTTCATCATGTGTAATTATAAATCTGGTGTCATTCTTATCTTTATTCCTCTAAACATGTCTTTTGTTTTCTGACTTTTTATTCTCTTTCCATTGCTTTTTAGCAAGTTTATTATAATACTCCCTGGAATAATTTTCTTTATGTTTATTTTGGTTAGGGATTGTTGAGCTTTTTGGATCTGTGGATTTACAGTTTTTATTAAGTTGGGAACTTTTTCTGCTGTTATTTCTCCAAATATTTTTTCTGTTCTCTCTCTGCTCTTCTGGGACTACAGTTATAACTATGTTTGGTTGCTTGAATGTGTCCCACAAGCTACTGATGCTGTGTTCCTTTTTATTTTTTCAGTTTTTTCCCTGTCTCATTTTTAATAATTTTTATTACTATGTCTTCCAGTATTAATCTTTTCTTTTGCAGTGTTTAATCTGTTAATCTCACCCAATATATTTTTCATTTCAGATACTATATTTTTCATCTTCAAAAGTTCCATTTGGGTCTTGTTTATGTCTCCAGTTTATCTCCCCATCATGATAATATTTTCTTCTGCTTCCTTGAACTTCTAGAACTTGTTATAGTAGGTATTTTTATAACCTTATGTTCTAGTTCCATCATCTGTCATTTCTGTGTGTCTTTCTGTTGGTTTATTTTTCTCTTGGTTATGTGAGTCACTTGCCCAGCTTCTTTGCATTGCTTGTATTTTTTTTTTTTTTTTTAATTGGAGCTGAGTATTGTGAATTTTATGTATTTGGTTGCTGTGGGTTTTGTTGTATTCCTTTAGATAGTGTTGAGTTTGTTTTTTAAGTGCATAAATTACTTGGAATCAGCTTGACCCTTTGGAAGGGCTGGTCCAAAGCAGTCTTGATAGGGATGATTTGGCCCCACTACTAAGGCAATATTTTTTTTGAGGATTCTACCCAATGCCTTGTGTACTATGAGATCTTTCCATGCTGACTGGTGGGACTACAAACTGTCCCCAGTCCTGAAAAAACCCTGGGGACTTCGGCTCACTCATTTGCAATGTTTCTTTTCAGA